ACATCGTCAAGTAGCTACAATCAAGTAAATTCGGTTTCTTCTCGTTTCTTAGTAATGGCAAAAAGGTAAGAACAGATATATTTCAATACAGGTTTGTCTAAGCTCATTAGAAATATAAATTTATCTGTACAGCTTAGATGTATAAAGAAGGGGAACATAGATTGTATCAGATTATAAAGATCTACTCTCTCTTAATAATGTATGAACCCCCTTTTGAAAATATGAAAATGCGTTGGACTATCTTAGATCGTACAAATCTCATGAAAATGAACATTCTAATCCTGTACTGATGGCACTGAAGCATTGGTTTTTGACCATGAAAGCTACTCACAAGTAGGAGTCCAGCTTTCGTCCCAGCCGAGCCTCTCTCCAGCGTTCTGTGTTTCCAACCAAGTGATGAGTGGTTGGAAGTACTCCACGATCGGCTGAGCTGACATCGTCCTTTGGCCAGTGATCACCTCCATGGCGACAGGCCACTCCTCACTGGAACCCATCTGGAGCATTCGGCTGTGTGATTGTCGGAGGATGGGGTGGCGATTGTTACCATCAATATCTCCATCATTATTTCAATTTAAAAAAATGCTACCATGCTACATACATGTAAATCAGAGTAGATAGAAGGTACTAGTAAATGATATGTCCTACGGGGGGCCACGATCGTCGGTAGTCATGCAATTTTTATGCCATAGAATTCGTAAGCAAATTGTGACAGAACCTACCGCCAACAAGGATCTGACAACTTCTAGATTTTCTAGAACAAGACAATTTAATCTTGCTCAACTACCACAAGAATGCCATCAGACGATTATACGACAATAGCACAACAGTGCACGCTAATGGCCCCTGAGGTGCTGTAAACAAAGAAAGAAGAGAGCACAAAGAGAACACTGTTGCCTTAGAGTTCGACAGGAATACGATATAACAACTCACGCCAACTTTTCCCCAGCGGCCGCCTTGTTGGGCCCTGCAGAGATGTCACACTTGTGCAGCGGACCGGTGTGCCCGGAAGTCTCACACAGGGCCTTGTGGAACTGGAACTGAACTACAAAACTCACAAAGTACCTACACGGTGAAACAACGCAAAAACTTTACCTTGTCATCAACCCCCATATAATCTAACAGATATTGCAAGATATTCTATACATAAAGCCATTCTCACGAGGCAAAGTCGGGTTCGCGGCGTATATGCCACGGAACCGAAAGGTACACGCCAGGGAACAAAACACTGAAAGTGAATTTTGTGAAGTGAGAACGTGTAATAGTCATTCTATGTGTTCTTCATTGACCTACATCTTATCTAGCTCACTTTATGCGTTTGTGACTTTTTTGCAATATTTATACATTCCTTGGTACACATAAAGTGCAGTATAACCAACAAGAAACAGACCTGATGTAAGGGGTGTTACCAGGGATGTGGAATTTAGCGCCGGGATCAAAGTCTTTGGCGGGGTTCCTCGGGATAGGTGGCACGATACCCTGGTAATGAGTCCTGTATGGGAAAGTACTCTATTAGTGTACGATAGAGAGATATTCGTGTAACAAGTGGGCCATGCTTGAGCGTAAGTTGGGTTTGTCCTAGTTCTGATAGACTGTGTTATTCTGACCTGAGTCCTAGTTGGACGTGAGTTAGGATTGTCCTAGTCAGGCTGATAGACTGTGTGATTCTGACCTGAGTTTCACAACCTCTGGTTGGACACGAGTTAAATTTTTGTCTTAGTTCTGATAGACTGTCTGATTCTAACCTATCACCACTCCTAGTTCGACGTGAGTTAGGTTAGTCCTACTTCTGATAGACTGAGTAATTCTGATCTGAGTTCCACCATTCCTATCCTTGTTGTCCTAGTTCTCATGATAAGTTGTGTGATTCTGACCTGACTTTCACCACTCCTATCCTAATTGAACGTGAGTTTAATATAGGTTTTTCCTAGTTCTGATAGACTGTGTGATTCTAACCCGAGTTTCACCACTCCTAGTTGGACGTGAGTTAGGTTTGTCCTAGTTCTGATAGACTGTGTGATTCTAACCTGAGTTTCACCACTCCTAGTTGGACGTGAGTTAGGTTTGTCCTAGTTCTGATAGACTGTGTGATTCTGACCTGAGTTTTATCAGTCTTAGTTCGACGTGAGTTAAGTTTGTCATAGTTCTGATATTTTGTGTGATTCTGACCCGAGTATCACCACTCCTAGTCGGACGGGAGTTAGGTTTGTTCTAGTTTTGATAGACTGTGTGATTCTAACCTGAGTTTCATTACTCCTATTCTTGATGGACGTGAGTTAAATTTGTCCTAGTTCTGATTGTGTGATTCTGATCTGAGTTTCACTACTTCTATCCTTGTTGGACGTGAGTTAGATTTGTCCTAGTTCTGATAGACTGTGCGATTCTGACCTGAGTTTCACCACTCCTAGTTAGACGTGAGCTAGGTTTGTCCTAGTTTTGACAGACTGTGTGATTCTGACCTGAGTTTCATCACTCCTACCCTAGTTGGACGTGAGTTAGGTTTGTCCTAGTTCTGATAGACTGTCTGATTCTAACCTGAGTTTCACCACTCTTGGTTGGACGAGAGTTAGGTTCTTCCTAGTTTGGATAGACTCTGTGATTATATTCTGACCTGAGTTTCCCCACTCCTATCCTAGTTGGACGTGAATTAGGTTTGTCCTAGTTCTGATAGGCTGTGTGATTCTGACCTGGTTTTACCACTCCTAGTTGGACGAGAGTTAGGTTTCCTAGTTCTGATAGACTGTGTGATTCTGACCTGAGTTTCACCACTGCTAGTTTGACGTGAGTTAGGTTTGTCCTAGTTCTGATGGACTGTGTGATTCTGACCTGAGTTTCCACCACTCCTCGTTGTAGGTTGCCGGAGTGATAGAGCCGTTGAAGACCGCCCATCTCCACTGGTCCATCAGGTAACCGAACGGCAGGAACGAGATCTTGTCCAGGGCCATACTCATCAGGAAGTTGATGTCAGACTCTGGATCATGAGAGGATTGAACAGATAGGAGGTGATTTTTACATAATGTTTTTTAAAATTAAGAATTTCTTACCAAATAAGAAACCAGATCTTCTGCTGTAAGGCCTACCGTTGTCGTCTTCCACATTGTCCAAGAGGCCGATTCCCTGTAAGTGTGTCGGAGTGGCCACGGACAGAGCCAGCAGATCTCCCACCGCTTCATGGAAGCCCGGGTTTCCTCCCCGCCGGAACGGAACGGGATGGTGCTTGTACTGTAGATAGTACTCGATGTGACCCATCTCGTGGTGGATGGTGACCAGGTCGTCCATGTTGATGTTGGTGCACATCTTAACCCTGTATTATTCATACAATATTTGTTCTTATCATTATTATCGAAACATTATATGAACTGAATCTAGTCACATCTTTGTCATTCCACTCCATTGACGGCTTATTCAATGAGATAAAACTTGAGGATGAGGCACACCCTCAAGTGTTTTGTCAAGGTTATGATTTGTATCATTGATGTTAATTCAGATTCTTTACTTCAGTAATAGAGTCATACGTCATAAGTCAACATACGTGACCTGTAGTCTCATTCAGATTAACAACGCAGGCCGAGGGCGAACAACTCAACTACTAGAGGTATACGATGAAATAGGTCAGGTTTTAGATGCATCTGGACAAGTAGATGTTATTTTTTTAGATTTCTGTAAAGCCTTTGACACTATTTCTCACAGGCTACTTGTACATAAGCTGAAGTTATATGGATTTGATAGTCAACTCCTTACCTTGATAAGCGATTACCTCTACGATCGCCAACAAAGAACAATTGTTGAAGGTCAGAAGTCTAACTACTTGCCTTTATTATCCGGGGTCCCTCAAGGATCAATCCTTGGCTCGTTTCTATTTTTGTTATACATCAATGACTTACCTGACTACGTACATTTCGGCAGGATGGCCATGTTTGCTGATGATGCCAAATGTTTTAAAAGTATAAACTCGATTTTTGATTGTATAAGATTTCAGGCTGACTTGGAAAGACTTGCCTTTTGGAGTAAAACATGGCAAATGAGATTTCATCCCTCCAAATGCTCCGTAGTCAGTGTTACACGAAAGTCCACCCCTATTGAATATACATATAGCATTGATGGTACTGAACTTACCAGATGTCTAGCTTATGAAGACCTAAATACATCTGTAACAACTACGAACTGTCATACAGGGATCGACTTACCTCTACCAATCTGTTACCGCTGTGTTATAGACGGGAACTTTTCGATGTATTATTCCTTTTCAAGTGTATTCGTGGTTTTTACTCCATTGATATATCTCGTTTTGTTAAAGTTTCTGTACCTAGTAGATCTCTTCGCTTTACCGACCAATTTCAATTTACTGTCCGCCCATGTAAAACTGAAACATTTACCTTTTCATATTTTAGCCGTGTAGTACTCATCTGGAACACTTTACCTGTAACAATCCGTCAACATTTGTACACAAATCTTAGCATTTCATCTGTCAGGAAATTGTTAGCCACTTATTACATATCCCGGGTACACTCCACATATTCCACCGATAACATATGCACCTGGTCCTCCATTTGTAGATGTCATGCCTGCCTAACCACTTATCCATACCTTACTGCCTTTATTGTTATTTGTTATTTTGTATACTGTATATTTTTAGTTCTGATATTTAGATGTATCTTGATGTATTATTTGTCTCGGTGCTATGTACATGTATCTCTGTTGAGGAGCCGGCCCCGTAGAGAAACCAGCTTTCTGTTCCCGGCTCCTCACAGACTTTTTTTTAAATCTGTAAAGCTCAATAAATAAAAATAAAAATAAAAATAAACTTGCTTGTCTAGGCTGAGTGACCTACCTGACATCATGCGCGTTGTAGAGTCCCATGCGGACGCGTGACAGACCAACTTCTCTGTCTGCCGGTTTGACGAACATGGAGTTGTCCCAGAAGTTCTGCGGCAGTCTCCACTTGACCCATCTCCTTAAAGAAGTCGTCTGACGTACGGAACATCCGATCGACTGTCCATCCCTGATGAACATTAATCACTATTAGAACTGATATAGCTACGTGTCCGTGTTTGCAAGGGGGTCCAAATTTCACCACTCCTCGCTGGACGTGAGTTAGGTTTGTCCTAGTTCTGATAGACTGTGTGATTCTGACCTGAGTTTCCACCACACCTAGATGAACGTGAGTTAGGTTAGTCCTACTTCTGATAGACTGAGTGATAGACTGAGTTCTGATAGACTGTGTAATTCTGACCTGAGTTTCGCCACTCCTAGTTGAACGTGAGCTAGGTTCGTCCTACTTCTGATAGACTGAGTGATTCTGACCTGAGTTTCGCCACTCCTAGTTGGACGTGAGTTAGGTTTGTCCTAGACCTGATAGACTGTGTGATTCTGACCTGAGTTTCACCACTCCTAGTTAGACGTGAGTTAGGTTGTCCTAGTTCTGATAGACTGAGTTGTTCTGACCTGAGTTTCACCACTCTTAGTTGGACGTGAGTTAGGTTTGTCCTAGTTCAGGCTGATAGACTGTGTGATTCTGACCTGAGTTTCCACCACTCCTGGTTGGACGTAAGTTAGGTTTGTCCTAGTTCTGAAAGACTGTGTGATTCTGTCCTGATTTTCACCACTCCTAGTTGGACGTGAGTTAGGTTTGTCCTAGTTCTAATAGACTGTGTGATTCTGACCTGAGTTTCACCACTCCTAGTTGGACGGTAGTTAGGTTTGTCCTAGTTCTGATAGACTGTGTGATTCTGACCTGAGTTTCACCACTCCTATCCTAGTTGGACGTGAGTTAGGTTTGTCCTAGTTCTGATAGACTGTGTGATTCTGACCTGAGTTTCACCACTCCTAGTTGGACGTGAGTTAGGTTTGTCCTAGTTCTGATAGACTGTGTGATTCTGACCTGAGTTTCACCACTCCTATCCTAGTTGGACGTGAGTTAGGTTTGTCCTAGTTCTGATAGACTGTGTGATTCTGACCTGAGTTTCACCACTCCTAGTTGGACGTGAGTTAGGTTTGTCCTAGTTCTGATAGACTGTGTGATTCTGACCTGAGTTTCACCACTCCTAGTTGAACGTGAGTTAGGTTTGTCCTAGTTCTGACAGACTGTGTGATTCTGATCTGAGTTTCACCACTCCTAGTTGAACGTGAGTTAGGTTTGTCCTAGTTCTGATAGACTGTGTGATTCTGACCTGAGTTTCACCACTCCTAGCTGGACGTGAGTTAGGTTTGTCCTAGTTCTGATAGACTGCATGATTCTGACCTGAGTATCAAAACCCCTGGTTGGACGCGAGTTAAATTTTGTCCTAGTTATGATAGACTGTACATGTGTGATTCTAACCCATCACCACTCCTAGTTGGTCTTGAGCTAGATTTTTCCTAGTTCCGATAGACTGTGTGATTCTGACCTGAGTTTCATCACTCTTAGTTCGACGTGAGTTAAGTTTTCCTAGTTCTGATATTTTGTGTAATTCTGACCTGAGTTTCACCACTCCTAGTTGGACGTGAGTTAGATTTGTCCTAGTTCTGATAGACTGTGTGATTCTGACCTGAGTTTCACCCCTTCTAGTTGGACGTGAGTTAGTTTTGTCCTAGTTCTGATATACTGTGTGATTCTGACCTTAATTTCCACCACTCCTCGTTGTAGGTTGCCGGAGTGATAGAGCCGTTGAAGACCGCCCATCTCCACTGGTCCATCAGGTAGCCAAACGGCAGAAACGAGATCTTATCCAGGGCCATACTCATCAGGAAGTTGATGTCAGACTCTGGATCATGAGAGGATTAAACAAATGGGAGGTGATTTCCATATAACGTTTCTCTTTTTAATTTAGGAATTTTTTACCAAATAAGAAACCAGATCCTCTGCTGTAAGGCCTACCGTTGTCGTCTTCCACATTGTCCAAGAGGCCGATTCCCTGTAAGTGTGTCGGAGTGGCCACGGACAGAGCCAGCAGATCTCCCACCGCTTCATGGAAGCCCGGGTTTCCTCCCCGCCGGAACGGAACGGGATGGTGCTTGTACTGTAGGTAGTACTCGATGTGACCCATCTCGTGGTGGATGGTGACCAGGTCGTCCATGTTGATGTTGGTGCACATTTTAACCCTGTACACATACAGCATTTGTTCTTATGATCATTATCATCGAAACATTATATGAACTGAATCTAGTCACATCTTTGTTATTCCTTTCAGTTGCCGGCTGAGCCAATGAGATAAAACTTGAGGCACACCCTAAAGTGTTTTATCAAGGTTATCATGATGATGATGATTTAAAAACATTTTGCAGCCCTGAGGCTGGATTGCATGTTTCCTTACATCAGTGTTCACCTTTAAAAATGTATACATAAAATAATTGAATTGCGACCACATATCTACATGATCTCTACATATATACATGAAAAAAGACAACACATTAATTGTTTACGTTGCCTCATTTAGGAGTTTTACTATATAGGGCAAAGGGCTGTTGGAGTAGCGCTTCGTACGTGCTAGAATAGGGTCGAATTTATTTTTTTTGCCTTGTTGACCTCCCCGTTACTTCGCCTGTTGTCTGATTGTCTGTCATGTCTCTTGTCTGTTATGATTTGTATAATTGATGTTAATTCAGATTCATCACTGCAGTAATAGAGATATACGTCATAAGTCAATATACGTGACCTGTAGTCTTAATCAGACTAACAGCGCAGGCCGAGGGCGAACAACTTGCTTGTCTAGGCTGAGTGACCAACCTGACATCATGCGCGTTGTAGAAGTCCCATGCGGACGCGTGACAGACCACTTCTCTGTCTGCCGGTTTGACGAACATGGAGTTGTCCCAGAAGTTCTGCGGCATCTCCACTTGACCCATGTCCTTAAAGAAGTCGTCTGACGTACGGAACATCCGATCGACTGTCCATCCCTGATGAGCATTAATCACTGTTAGAACTGACATAGCTGGGTGTCCGTGTTTGCTAGGGGGTCCAAATTTCACCACTCCTAGCTGGACGTGAGTTAGGTTTGTCCTAGTTCTGATAGGCTGTGTGATTCTGACCTGAGTTTCACCACTCCTAGTTAGACGTGAGTTAAGTTTGTCCAAGTTCCGATAGACTGTGTGATTCTGACCTGAGTTCCACCATTCCTATCCTTGTTGGACGTGAGTTAGGTTAGTCCTAGTTCTGATAGACTGTGTGATTCTGACCTGAGTTTCACCACTCCTAGTTGAACGTGAGTTAGGTTAGTCCTAGTTCTGATAGACTGTGTGATTCTGACCTGAGTTTCACCACTTCTAGTAGGACACATGTTATCTTTGTTCAAGTTCTGATAGACTATGTGATATTCTTAACTGAGTTTTACCATTCCCAGTTGGACGTGAGTTAACTTTGTCCTAGTTCTGATGGACTGTGTGATTCTGATCTGAGTTTCACCACTTCTAGTAGGACACATGTTATCTTTGTTCAAGTTCTGATAGACTATGTGATACTCTAAACTGAGTTTCACCATTCCCAGTTGGACGTGAGTTAGGTTCGTCCTAGTTCTGGTAGACTGTGTGATTCTAATCTGAGTTGAGAACTGACATAGCCGAGTGTCCGTGTTTGCTGGGGGGTCCAAATTCATGACACTTTTTCCAGGCACAAGAGCCGTCTACGGACCAACATTCTTAGCATGTACAGATATTAAAACCGGAAATTTTAGCGGCAGTATCATGACAAGTCGCTAGGTGGATAAAACTCTGATGATTTCGAGTCTCATCAAGACCTGCCTAACTAGGCATCAAAGGCAGTCCATGCAAGCCTATATCTAGCATAGCAGAGACGTTCTCGGCAAAGAATAGTTGCTTCAAACAGTAGGATATAAATGAAAGGGATCTGCTCACATCTTCCTGCATCTTCGGTGTCACATCCAGGCTCGTCTTGCCAGGGTAGGGCTCCACTAGGTCGTAGATGTTGATCCAGGATTGAGACCACATGTTACCTACATGTACATCGATCAAATCAGTCAATGTGTTACTAAGGATAGAAAGAAACAATGAAATATTTAGCTCAATGTCTTCCAGACAGCCACCATTGACTATTGCCTGTTAGCCCTTTTAAAAAAATATTTCTGATATCACACAAACCTAGCAGATGAGCAGGGATGGGCCCAGTGGCGCTGATCTTGTCTTGTCCGTATGTAGCCCTGAGCTTCTTCCTGACGTAAGCGTGCAGGTTGTTGTACAGAGGCGTGAGCTGGTTGTACAGGTTCTCCAGTTGTTCCTGGAAGTCAGCCGTCTCGTACCAGGAGCGCCAGTACGCTCCCGTGTCTTCCCATCTCTGAGCTGCATGGATACATAACATGACATGTGACATTTGGAGCAAAAGTGACATACAGTATAAAGTTAGTTTAAACCCACAACTTTCGGTATAGAAGTGCAGTGCCAATCTCTGTTTCTATAGCCCTTGAACCACAGAGGCCACAGTAGGGGTGTTTTCAATTCTCCATACATTTTACTTTGGTGCACATTAGCACAATTTCAAACACTCTACACAGGACGCACTGTCTACAATGCATATTTGTGAAACTAAGTGA